ATGTTGAATAACAATATCATCCAATTAAAAGACGTTATGTTTTCTGATGAGTGTACTGTCAACGGAACATTCTCACTGGATGAGAGAAAAACACACGAGAAAAAAAACACACAACCTGAGGTTGAATTCTCATTCAATTAGAATACTAATTTTTGATCAATTACGATAGCTTCTGAAATAAACTTTGAAGTCAGAACGCGGCTAAATTATACTAATGCAGCTCAGGAGTGGTGGGAATCACCAGTCGTATCAAAAATTCAAATCATTTCATGTTGAGGTGTTTATAATAAGAAAGTAAGCTAAACCATAGCAGTGTTCAACTTGTTTTGTATGATTCAACATGAGTTGTCAGTATTTTAATTCAAGTTTGAAGTTCGTTTACTACAAGTCTGACAAATGGTTAGATTAATGGAAATGCATAAAATAACAGTTTTACAAATGATTGGTTACGGAGATAAAACCCAAACACAACAGGAAATAGCTACTCAGGAGCTCAGGGAAGACAATTTTAATAGAAGAACTTATTCTTGTGAACAACTGATGGACATGTTGAATAACAATATCATCCAATTAAAAGACGTTCTGTTTTCTGATAAATGTACTGTCAACGGAAAATTCTCACTGGATGAGAGAAAAACACACGAGAAAAACACACAACCTGAGGTTGAATTCTCATTCAATTAGAATACTAATTTCTGATCAATTACGATAGCTTCTGAAATAACCTTTGAAGTCGGAACGCGGCTAAATTATACTAATGCAGCTCAGGAGTGGTGGGAATCACCAGTCGTATCAAAAATTTAAATCTCATGCTCAGACTATAAGCGAGCCCACTCGAGCAAATACTAATGAAGAAAAATAGTAAATCCCTGTCAAAGACAAAGTATATTTTGTAAATTCGAACAGCGAGGGAGAAAAAGGATTTGTTAATTGAAAGTGAACAAACCGAGCGTAATGGCAAAACAGATCGATAATACTTGAGTATTTGTTTTGAGTTTCTCTATTATGCGTTTATAAAAAACTGACATTTTATGATATGAAATATGAAAATGTTCAACAGTTATTGGGGAGGTTTCATGAGTCTAGATGATTGTCACGGTATTGTATTGAGTGAATTGATAATAATAGTGAACATAATTAATGTTAAAAGGCAACATTTTCAGTTTCTTTTGGTGAAATATCAATAGTATTTGGTGATATACAACATGTTTTCTAAATGAAAGTGAAGATCTTGTGATTACTCGTTCAATAAGTCTTTCAATTTATTATTTAACACTTGATAAATTTTGAAAATAAAACTAGCCGTTTCTGAGTAGTTAACACTTTTATATTCTTTGTAGAATCTCCAAATAAATACCAGCGATCGGCCAACACGTCTATATTAGCTCCACTTGTATTTTTGTTTGTTTGTAACCGACTCCTTTGGACTCGATTTTTTCTGTTACAGATGCTCGGCTTAGCATGGATATCACCGGTAGCCTGACTAAGCACGAATAACATCGTCATATTTTAACCAAATCACATAAAATAATAATGAATTATACACTAAAAAAAAACAATTGTTTTTTGTCAACGTTTCGAATTTAATTAAATTCTTCTTCAGGGCTTGAAAAGTAGTTTCTTCGTGTTAATATTTGTTCCATTCTCATTTGAACTCATTTTATTTTGTTTCAAATTGTATATATTTAAATCGACACGAGTACTTTCGAGTATCGGGCGTGCGTGTTTGGTACCACGAAACGAGGGACTTACCGCCTCTCTGCCAGTGTCTAAAAATCTACCGGCCCAGCTATATAGCTCAACTCACCAAGGTATGTCATGAAAGTACAACACAGTCATATTATTTCCTATTTATAAAGTCTCAGTAATCTTATTATATACAGTCTGCTAATATTAAAAAACACCACCTAATATTAGTATTTTAAAAACCGTTAGAAACATTAGATATATTAAAAAAAACATTGCAACAACCAAATTTTCGAGACAACATCAACACAGAACGACATGACACAAACGACATTTCGTTTAGATATTAGAATGAAATTAATTGTTAATTCTACTAATGCTACTCCTACTAACAGTATAAATGCTTAAAGTTTGTGAGGATGGATGAATGTAATCTATGTATTTACGTTTTTTAGTTTTAAACGCCTAAACAGCTCAACGGATTCAAATGGATGTTGGATATATCATGACCTGGAATAACACATAGGGTAGGTTCCCACGGTAACGCGGGTAAAACAGCGGGGAACAGCTAGTATTATATGAGTGGGTACCTACTGATTGACTGACACTCTTATATTAATGTACAACCGAAGTTACTAGACCTATAATCTTGAAATATGCAGGTAGGTTCTTTTTATATCGTAAGTAAGCATCAAGAAAAAGAATTAGGAATTTCCATTCCACCCCCTAGGGGGAAAAATAGGGGTTCGAATATTGTATTGAATTTCGTCAGTTTTGAAGTTGTTAACCTGAAGTTTTGGGTTAATATTAAAATATTGTAACTATTTGTTCAAAATGATCTGAACGAAACCTTACGTGACAAACCAAATTATACGCGGGCGAAACCGCGGGCAACAGCTAGTAATTTATATTTTTACTTTGAAAATACAGTAATTGAAAAAATATGCCAACTGCACTGAGTAATGATCAGCTTCGAGAATCGAATTGTGTTACTTATAACAAAATTTTGCAAAACTAACACAACCGTCAACGACGTCTGCTCTCACGCGGGTCGCGTTCTTGGCGATGACGCTTCATTGCTTAGACCGTCCCTTTACTCCTGCGCGTCGTCCTCCGTCGTCTTACAGTAGACGCGACGCGTAATGGCTATCTGCATTGCGTCAAGTTAAACTTATAGTGATAACTTTCAAACGATTCGTCCAAATTACTTATCGTGTAATACAAAGTTTACCTATATTGAATACTTAGAACGACAATTGTATTGTTTTGATAAGAATTTGACAGATATTCTAAAATGTGCATTTTAAAAAAGTATACAATTTAATTGCATTCATAACTCAGTATTTTGCATATAGTGGCTACCACATAGGAGGTAGCTATATGCTATCGCGGACTTTTATTTAGAACTATTCAAGATGAAGAATCTTACGATACATTATCTGTATGTAAATCCAACGGTATAGACAGCGCACGTCAAGATAGCTCGCAAGGAGCGAGAATTTTTTCGACTTACCCTAATACTTATCATTATATCATGACCAAAATTACACGAAACCTTTGTGACTTGTAGTCTATATGCTATTTTGATGTAAAAGCTGTATTTATGTTTATCTATTTTAAGTTTCATCTGAATCAGTTCAGTCGTTTAGGCGTGAAAGAATCGCAAACATACACACATGTATCTATCCTCACAAACTTTCATTTTATCACTGGCCATCATAACAAAATCAGTAAATAAAACATCACAAATAACGAAAACACAAAACAAACGTGACTTCAGGCTGACGCCATTTTGTCCATTTGTCGATGCGCTCCCGGTAGCTTTTTATCTGTCTTGCACTTCAAACTATCTCTCTCTAACCACAAAGATTATACCGCAATACTTTTTATTCATATTCAATACTTAACAATCAAATTAAAAAGAAAAAGATTTGGAAAGGCTGAATATATTTATTTGAATTAATAAATCGAAGAGGTTTTGTAATAAAGTGTATAATTTTTTTAAAAGCAAAGCGAAAGCGCTTTGCAATAATTTAAAAAAAAATATACACTTTAATACAAAACCTCTTCGATTCATTAAATCAAATTAAAGTCTGGCAAATTAATTTTAGATCATTTTATGTTTAAAGAACATAATATAAAAATTACAGACATTCAAAAATACTTTGAATTTTTTATTCAAAAAAAATAAAAAATCGCGTATGGCACAAAATTAACAACAATAAAAATGCCTGGCAATAAGAAATTGATGTCTGGTGGATCTATCTAAAGGCGAAAAATTAAAAATTACGCTTTAAAAAATTCTTTTAAAGTTAAGGATTTTCACCTGTGCAGGTAAGATGCGCATTAATAAACGCAACCACTACCGCCAGCCAGGTAGCCCGGACTCTAACCGAAAGAGCAAGAAAGACAGCATATCAGAAAACCAACTGTTCTGAAATTCTTTCTCGGAAACGTTGCTAGCTATATAGTCTCATATCAGAATCAAGAGAACTCACCTATCTCATTGATTCCTCATGAAACTCGACGCATAAAAATTATTTCTCAGCTTATTGCAGACTTTCCATATGTGACCATTGTGTCATAGTACATGATTCGTGTTTAAGATTCAGTGTTTCTCACAAATTCTGAAATCATCTTGATTTTTTTTCATCCAAATCATCATTTGTTAAGAGTATCCGTCAGGTGTTCATTGAGACATGTTTTGGTGCTTTCAATTTAACTGACTTTATGTTGATTTAGAAAATGAATCAGATTTACAGGAAATAAGTTAATTTTGTATGACAAACTGAATTTTTCTGTATATCCAGACCTGCAATATTCTTCTTGACGCGTATTTGATCAACAAAGTAGGCGTCTTCAGGAAATGAAGTTTTTTTCAACAACGCATGTTCTGTGAAAGGTTTCGAGAAGGTGGAATGTTGATATTTCTCCACTTATTTTCCATGATAAGTGTCTAATTGTAAAGAAATTCAAGACTGTTCTAGCCATGTCAGGTTGCGAGTCTTTCGTTACACCATCATAAATATTAATTTCTATACATTTTCTTTCAGTTTTCTGAATCTGATTCATCATCATTTGTCGAATTATCTTCAGTTCATCATTTTCAGATTGAACAATAATATATTTTTCACATTCCACGCGAGTTAATCAATATTAACATTTATCTATTACCCCAAGTCTGTATTTTCTGTAGAAGAAGGAATTGAATCAACACAAGGTTACTGTTTTGGAAATTGATATTTCGATACATCAATTTGACAAATATTTTCGATGACAGCAATCATCAGTTCAAGAATCATTTATTTGTCAAAATGAAAAGATTCACTAAGCAAGAAAAAGTTTCCTCAGACCACGATGATGGCGATTCTCAGGACGAATATGTGTCTGAGAGAGAGAAGAAACAACAAGACTTCAAAACTGTCAAGATAACGCTGGAGGCTTATCAAAATATAGTTAATTTTTTTCCCACTGCCGATATCAGAACTCAGTGCACTTTTGATGGAAGAATAGTGGGAGAAACAACTTGGATACCAGTGACTGGTGATAGTTATCTGCCGATAGACAAAACATTTTCTTTTACTTTCGACAAAACTTCACCTAAAGACATCGACAAACTCATATCGTTACCTGTGCTAATGACAATTTCGCAATCAACGGGAAGTTTCCACCCATTTTCATATGATTACCTCCAAATTAACACAGACTCCAGATACGCTACCAATACAAGGCATCTAGAGAGTATTGTTGAAATATATGAAGAATTCACAGGTCAGACAATTCCAAGAAGTGATTTATCAGAGCAACGTCCCAAGAAAACCAAAAGAACGACAAAAACAAAGTCCTCTAAGAGGGACAGATCCACCCAGGGATCTGATTCATATTCAAAAGAAACTGTACCTCGTCATTTGAGTTCCAATCCAATAGTACCAGAATTGCCATCAGAATATCTAGAAGATCCTGTCATATACGGAATGTGTACTATAGATTTTTTGCCGTTATTTCAGGGAAAAACTACTTTCTCGGAAACTTTGCTGATACGCCCGATAAAAAAATACGATGACGAGAAAATGGTTTCCTTCAAAGCACATCCTAAAATAATAGTGACGGTTTCCACTGATGTTAATCTCAGTTCTCTTGGGGTTGCAATTATGAACATTACGGTGGAAGCAATCTATAACATACCTTCACTGATGAAACCTGAAACGGATTACAGAGTGAATGTACTCCTACCGAAGGCAACCACCAAAAAAATTCCTATCTCTTTTACGAATTCCCGATACACATTCAACACACGAGGATGTACAAATAGGTGTTGGCCGAATATGCAACAAATTGGACTCAATGCAAATACAACGAAATATGTTTCCAGCACCAGCAAAGACGAACTTCTAAATAAGGTCGGAGTCGACATTGTTTCATATTTGAACGAAGATGGGCCAACCTTGGTTTTCAATACAATGAGAAGGAGTTTGATAACGGAAAGTGGTTGGGAAGAACTCATAGAGCATGTCAACAGTCATCGAAAGATAGTACTGGAGTTTTTAATAAACCAAAAAGGTACTAGAAAATCCAACTTCAATATCCCAAGACCTGATAAGGAGGCTTCAATACCTTCCCTGAAGTATGCCAATGAATTTGGCAAAAAGTTGCGGCCACCTTCCTTGCATTTCATGTCTATACTAGATGTATCTTCGCTGTTGTATCCGGGAGTTTCGAAAGTTCGCATAGCGGCTCCTGTGTGCAGCTACAACTCCGAAGAGGTTTCAAAATATAGTGGTCAAGATGATACTTCACCCAATATTATAATAAAAAAAAGTAGTCCGTCTAGAGAAGCTGTCAATAGGTCAAAGGATAAACCTAATAAACTCAAGGAGAAAGACTCAGAAAAAAGTGAGAAGTCGTCTGTGAAGAATAAAGAAAAAGATCCTAAAGAGAAAGATCTGAAAACATTCTTACCTCTGAAACCAGAAGCTGAACCAAAACCGGATCCCATTGTACCAATCCTTAACGAACAAGAAAAACCCTGCTTCATTCTTGTGGAGATTGAATTATCCAAATGCATTGAGCCCTCAAGAAATCTAGAGGATCTAAGAGATAGTACGCATGAACTCATACGAACAAAACCTCAATTTCCTACAAAACTGGTTCTATGTAAGTGTTTGATCGAATCCTACTACAAAGAATTACTGGATGAAATGATGAAAGATATCGAAAAGAAGTTTCAAAGATTTTTGACTGAACACCCCGACCGCAAATTTTCCTCGAATAAAACCTCAGATTTCATTGATTTTCTGCAAACCATTGGAACGTATCAGACTTATTCTTCTTCCATGATGAAAGTCGCAACTTTGCTATCCACAAGCGAATTCAAACCTGGTGGATTCGAAAATACCAGCAGAGGTTACCAAACTATTCCAGATTTGTTTGTTTATTTGATATCAGAAATGAATGATAGTCTGAATAAACTCACATGCCATGAAAAGGAGAATAAATGTGAGGAGAACATTCTGGAAAGGATCATTTTCTATGCCAAGGAAGCTGTGGAAATGAGAAATACTGATTTAGCAGATAGATATTTCCTTGAACGAATTTGTAGAAATAAACAAAATTCTGACTACTGGTTCGAATATGGCGTATTTTTTCTTGAACTGAAAAAAACCGACAGAGCTTTTGAATGCATGAAGAAAGCTTTACTGACAAACTCTAATCATGGAAATAGTCTCATAGCTTTGGGGGTGCTCTTAGATAATAAAGGCCAGAAAGAAGAGGCGGAAATGTATTTCTTGAACCTCATGATACTGCTACCGAAATGGGTGGAGGGTTGGGGTGTCCTCTATATCTTTTATACAAAACATGATTGCTATGAAGGCATGGATGTAGCGCTAGAGATGGCGAATAAATATTTAAATGAAAATGCTGCTGCCAAATTACCTGAAGATTTAGCGTGGACCTCCAACATCTGCCCGAATACTATATTTCTTCGAACAGCAATCGTTTTACTGAAGATGAGATTGTACGACTGGGCGGAAATCGCTCTGGCTGAAGAATTGACTACACATTTTGGATTGGTACACTACTTACTGTCGGCTATTTGTTATTATAAAGGACTTTATTCTCATGCCTTGGAGCATTTAGAGGAAGCAAAAAAAAACTACGGATCGAATTATGCCGTGGCCAGTCTATCCGGACATTGCTTTTTTGCTCTCAACAGAGAAGAAGAGGCAAAAAATGAATACTATCATGCTATAGCAGAATTCGATGGTCCGAAAGACAATCATTTGGTTCAACTGAACCTTACACTAATTTTTGAACGTGCCGGAGACGATCAGAAAGCAAAGAAGTTCGCTTTGTTGGCTTGTCAGTACAATCCTACTCCTTACACTTGGTTGAAAGCAGGGCTTTTCTATCTACGGGAGAATGATTTGCTGAGTGCGGAAGAATGTTTCAGCGAAGGAAATATGAGAGATCCTAGTCACTCAGAACTGTGGGGAAACCTATGTTTGGTAAATTTCAAACTTCGTAGGCTGCATGAAGCGGAAATATGTTACAACCAAGCGATACGAAATGGCTTGAAAAATAGTGAGCTTTTAGAAAATATCGAAAAGGAACGGAACAGTGACTGATATATAATTATGAATTAGTTTTATTTAACCTGGGAGTAAACGAAATATAGACAGTTGAAGACTACTCTAAAATGTTTAATAGCTTCAACGAGACGATTACACTCGAGTGCCAAGTCATATTCCAGATGAGACTACATGAGTTTCAAGATGATTTACGTTATTAGTAAAGCAAATTATTTTCTTATTATTGGGAGAATTGAACAAATTTTCAGAAAACTTTGATCGTTTTTTGCTGTAAGAGATGTCCGATATTTACATTCTATTCATACATACAATCTTTCTCATTGTATAAATTTGTTGGATGATGACCTGTCTCTGTTTCTCTGTTGCATTTCTCTGTTGTGGAATTGGCCGCAGTGGTAGTGCGCCCAACTCACGATCGGAAGACCGTGGGTTCGATTCCCGCCTCGATCAGATATTTTTCTCGAGAGAATTTATCTGGTTGAAGCTGGAATGATTCTGCAACCGTGTTAGAAATCACACATTAAAAGGTAAGACCTCGTTAGTCCTTAGCTCGCACAAGTTTCTCAACTTCTGAGAGTTGTCGTTCGTATGGGGGCGACAGCTGATTAACAAAAAAACAGATTTTAAACAGATTGCGTGAAGCCGAGGCCTCTAGTATACAGCCACAGTATCTAGTGGATAGCCCTGTAATTATATTGAGCCAATCCCCATAGAAAAGAAAGAAGATGACTGATATCTTAGTATGAATTATTTCTATGAATCCTGGCAGAACTCTAAGTAACTGAAAACCGTTCTCGTGAAGAAATACCTGAAATTTCGATTGGTTCAATGTAGTGATGGTGATCACAATTATCAACTCATATTCCAGAGAAAAGTGTTAGTTTGATTACATAATATGCTTAATCCTAGTGAACACGTGTATTCACTTGGAACTGAACAAAGCAAGAACATATCCAGTGACGAAACTTAGGGGGTCAGGTAGATTACGACCCCGTCGTCGAACCACGTAACTTCAGCTACAAGTGGTTCTTGGAAATGAATTCACAGTAGAAGCCACCAAATTGCTGCCCGCGGAAACCTATCCGAACTATCTCGGAAACGGTAAAACCTACAAGGTCATTTAAACTGAACAATAGCTTTCTGTTATGAGGAGCTAGAATAATTTCTTTCCAGAACAAAAATGTCAGTGGTTGTTTTTGAAATATTCGCCAAAAACTGGAATTGCCGAATTTCGTTTTTTGGCTCTACCGCCTCCGTTTTGTTTCCATGCAATCATTTCCCAGTAGTTTGACTGCATTAACTTTTTTCGATATCATATCATTTTTAGAAACATGTGGATTAATTTTCCAATGGTCGGTGGTTCAAGTCCTAGTATAAACGATTGATTTTCACTTGCTATCGTCCAACCCGTGTTAGGAATCACACGTTAAAAGGTAAGACCTCCTTAATCCTTTGCTCGCCACAAGTTTCGACTTTTGAGGGTTGTCGTACATAGGAGTGTGACAGCTGGTTAACAGAGGAACAGACAGAACAGACAGACAGCTTCCAGGATCGCTTCCCGAATTTCTGCTACCACAGTTGTTGGTTGATTAGTCAAAACACCAATACTGACATAAAAACTTGTCAAATTGACTTGGGTATCACACCAATAGGTGGTTTCACTTATGTCTCGCTTGCGTTTACTCAGTTATTTCTATCAAGTACTTTTCTTGGTTATATTTTGTCCTCTTAGTCAGGGAAGCTATAGATTACGCTGTAGACGACCCCTCCCGATATAGAAGGCCCCGACACTCTGTCGTATGAGGCCCCTATGTCCTCCGTTAACAGATGAATAATATCTTCATCTATCTCACCCCAGCCAGGTAGGGGTATAACGCGAAGGGCGGTATGGATGTCTAAGGACTTTCATGCCACCATCAAACATCAGTTGTGATCCATTTGTCTCTCTGACAAACTTCAGTTAAAAGGGGAAGGGGGCCAGGCTCCAACCTGAATAAAGTCAAGATGGTTAACGTCATTTTGTCCTCATTCGAGGACCGCTTGCCCGGTACTAACAATGCCCAACAGGCTGGAACAACTGTCTACCGGTGGCGGTAGGGCCAAAACGAATATTTTAACACAAAGTGTCACAAACAACGAATATTCCAAAAACACCCACTGATCTGAAAACTAAATTATCCTAAACAATCTCAGCGGTTGTTTGACGTAAGTTTTCAAATCTAACATGTAACAAGAGTTACATAAATTTTCAAAGAGTGGGAGTTTTAAAAAATGTTTGAAACTCATATCAAAATGAGACCATTTGCAAAGTGTCTTGTAGAGTACCAAAGATAAATACGGAATACTGCAAAGTGAGATATCAAAGTGAGCTCCAAAACAAATTCTCCAGAGAGAATCCGCTTACAATACTGCAACACATGGCGGATTCAACAAGGAAGCCTATAACTTTCGACAAAGAGCACTTTGAAGTGGAGAGAATTCTCATTGAAGTTAATGTACCGCAAAGTGTTCAGTTCAAATATTTTGCATAGAAGTAAAATTTAATTAAAATCATCAATCCTTTAATGCCCTATTGTATGCATTCTCTAATTAAATGATTTGTAATATAACGGGTATATGAAGTAAAACGGCTGTCGAAAATCATTTCATATTTTAAATTCACTGCTGTACCAGAGAGAGAACTGAGGATTTTCAAAGCTCCATTTGCCGTGGCAGTAGCAAGTTGTACTGTACGTCAACAGCACTAATTTTTATTGATTTTTGACTGTAATCTAGTGACAGAAATCAAATGTTCAAAAACCATCATTGTAAAGTGAACAAAAGAAATTTTTTTCCTAAACAATCTCATCAGTCTACTGACTGCAGTCAGTTTGGGTACTAGTGCAGATCTGAGAAATACATCCAACATTTTGAGCTCCGTTGCAAACATATTTGCCGATTTTTTTCTATCCTAATCACATCAGCTTATCCATGAAAAAAGGTTTTTGCTTTCATCTGAAGAGCGTGTTTTTGAAGATATAAGAGGGGGAAGTTTCGTCCACTAGAAATAATCTGGAACGTTTGCCAAAATAGCGGAATATTGCTATTTCATTGTGAAACAATCAAAGAAGGTATATGTTGTGATTGCTCTCTATTCCCCACTCATGAAGAAGTCTTTCGATTTGAACTGAAAGATAAAGCTTACTGCGGTTCAGTCGTAGGCTAAGCCGTAGTGAGTATTGTATTACGGAAACTAAGTTAATATATATATATA